GGCTGTCCTGGAACTCACTCTGTAGACCATGCTGGCCTGGAAATCACAGAGATCCTCTAGTCCTTTTATATTTATGCCTTTATTTTTTTATATTTTAGACAGGGTCTCACTGTGTAGCCCTGGCTGGCCTGGGCTTTCTGTGTAGACCAGGCTGGCCTGAATTCACAGAGATCCAACTGCATTTGCCTCTGCAGTGCTGAAATCATGCCTGGCCCTCCCTTTATATTTCTAAAATAGGAACAGCCATGGTGGCACACGCCTGTAATCCCAGCACTCAGAGTCTATGACAGGAGGATCATGAGTTCCGGGCACATGCCAAGTTCAAGGCCAGTTTATAATAGTAAGAAGACCCTGTCTCTTGAGAGCAAAAATGAACCATACTACATTGTCACCCATTGCAGCTTTCTTTATAGCTTATTTAACATATTTACAGCAGATAGTTCGATCCCATGTCTGCTCCTTCTAACAGCTATCTCTCACATTTATCTTACATTTTCCCTTTGATTACGGGTCCCATTTCCCCGATTCTCCTCTCTGATGCTTAGAATACCAGTCACTTTGAATGACAAGCTACAGAGACTTCTTGCTTCTGGTTCTCCTGCCATGTTCTCAGTTTTGCTCTAACAAGTAGAGAAATCAGAATCACGTTGACTCTTATTTTTTCCCTATTGGTGTCTCTGGGGAAGGAGGTGCATGTGTCTGTTTGCACGAGTGTGGGCTTACCAGTATATGTGATACGGAGGCCAAGGTGCCTGCTGGGAATCATGAGCAACTCTTCTACCTCACTGAGGCAGGGGTTCTCAGTCAATTGACTAGTCTTGCTAACCAACTCTCTCTCTCTGGGGATCCCCATCTTCCCTTTGCAAGGCTGGGATTACAGGCAGGCCACGATGCCCACCTGGCATTTTATGTGTCTTTTGGAGATCCAAAGTCTGGTCCCCATGCATGCATAGTAAGCCATTCATCTCTCCAGCTCTGATCACTGTGATTCTGCAGAGCCTTTGTTTAAAGCAGTGGTTCTCAACCTTCTCAAACGACCCTTTCTTAGGGGTCACCTAAGACCATCAGAAAGCACAGATATTTACATCATGATTCATAACAGTAGCAAAACTACAATTAAAATAATTTTTTAAAGATTTTATTTATTTACTATGTATACAACATTCTGCTTCCATGTGTATCTGCACACCAGAAGAGGGCACCAGATCTCATTATGGATGGTTGTGAGCCACCATGTGGTTGCTGGGATTGAACTCAGGACTTCTGGAAGAGCAGAGTGCTCTTAACCTCTGAGCTATCTCTCCAGTCCCAGTTAAAATAATTTTATGGCTGGGGGTCACCACCACACAAGAAACCATATTAAAGGGTTGTGAGATTAGGAAGGTTGGAAACCACTGGTTTAAAGATTAGGGGTCTTCAGATTTGCTTAGCCTAATGGGTTTTCAGTGGGAAGATCATGTTGTTGACCCAGCCCTGTGAACTGGCAGAAATTAAACTCCAAATTCTGTCTTCCCCGCACAAGTGGCTGCTAAAGCCCCTCTCAAATCGTGAGCCCTCCCAGATCTTTCCCAGAAAGCTTTGTGCCTCTCTCTATACTTCCGGGTCAGGAAGGAGCCTGGGATTTGGGGCATGTGTGTAAGAACATCTGAGGGCTAACCAAGTCCTCTTCTTTTTCAAGCGCTCCTCCTCCAGTTCACAGCTGTATAGACTGCCTTAAACTCTCACCTCTGATGACTCATCCCGGCTAGGCTGCAACTTTCTGCCTGAGTGGGCTTCCTGTATTTCGTTGCTCACGGGAAAGGCAATAGCTGGAAGTAGCCCTCACCTAGTCCCACTTTGTCCTAGGCTTACAGCCTCTCCACCACCTCCAAATAGTTGGCTTTTATGGTGTTTGTTTGTTTGGTTGGTTCATTTTGCCCACATTTGATTGTCTGGAGAGTTAGTCCAATATAAATTAACCTACCATTGCAGGAAACAGAACCCCAGCCACCCTTCCATGCCTCTCTTCACCTTGGTTTTCCTGGTTTAATTTTTTTTTTTTTTAAATCTTGCTGTTTATGCTTCATGGAAACTCTTTTGTTGCTTCTCAGAGGACATTAGTGATGATTTGGTTTTAATGGTTGATCTCTAGCATTTGTGTTAGAGATTTTCTCCTGGTGACCCAAGGGCGGGGAAGAGCTTGCCTGGCTGGGGGAGGGCTTGCCTAGCACAGATAAGGCCCTGGATGTTATAATACTGGAGGAAACAACTGCAACACACTGGGGTGTTGAGTTTGATTGGTAGCTGGGCAGCTCCAAAAGCCATCATCTCATGTACTCCTCCCGAGTTCCCAGAGGGGCTTCCTCCTGGTGTCTTTCCCAGAGGGCACATGTTTAGCCTCCTGCACTCTGGAAACTCACCCGGAAGAATCCTGAGCACATACTTGCGCTCTCAAACACACTTGACACCTGTTGTCTTTCTTGGGCAAGCACATCCATGGTGGGAAGTAGTCAGTTGCCCATGGAGTTGGGCTCTGGAGAGCTCTGGGCTTGCTTCTCCAGCCACTTTCTGAGCCGTTTGAGGATTCTTCGGACATACTGGGCCCTCGGCCCTCAAGTCTAGCTTTCGTGTGTGTGTGTGTGTGTGTGTGTGTGTGTGTGTGTGTGTGAGAGAGAGAGAGAGAGAGAGAGAGAGAGAGAGAGAGAGAGAGAAAGAGAGAGAGACAGACAGACAGACAGACAGACAGACAGACAAAGAGAGACAGAGAAGGGGGAGACAGGAGGGAGAGAGAGTGTATGTGTGTGAGAGAGAGGGAGGGAGAAATAGAGGGAGGAGAGAGAGTGTGTGTGTGTGTGTGTGTGCACATGCATGCTCTGGTGCATGCATACATATGAGACCACACATATAAAGGACAACTCCTTCCACCGTCTGGGTTCTAGGATCGAACTCAGGTCATCAGGCTTGCACACAAGTGCCTTTTACCTATTGAGCCATCTCACTGGCCCGAGTCTAGCTTTCTTAAATGCATGGTCTCACTCGCCATCTGCTTTCCAGCCTCCAAGATTCGGATGGTGAATTCTCTGATTTTCGGAAGGGGAGGACATGAACTCAGAAGCCTGCAACTAGAGACTGTAAAAGAGATTGCTTTTGTGGCATCGGTTGGTCAGAGGGCAGAGTCTCCGAGTCCACGGGCTTCAAGTACTTCTGAGTAGTCAAACCAATAGGGAACATTTTGCAGAAATCAAAGTAAGTGTTTACGATTCAGGGTTAGCGGCGACAAAAGCAGACAGTGTAGATGAACACATTTGCCTATGAGCAAAAAGATAAATGGCTCAGGCTACCTCTGGTCTTGGAAGGAGACCTGGGAACTAGACCTTTTCCTGGGGCCATCTGCTACTGCTGCCGTGCTGTGTACCTGGCGTCCTGAAGGTGCCCACTGCTCTTGCTTCAGGGAGATGCAGTAGGGCTGGGGAAGGTCTGGGAAGGAAAGAACGAAACGACAGCCTCGTGAGGGCAGGTGTAAGCACTGGGACTCTGCTGGGATATAGAGGTGGCATGTCTCGGAGCCAGTGTGGGGAAAGCAGGTATGAGCCTGGACTCCAGATCCCAAGCGCCTGGCTATCAGAGAGGGTTGCTCTGAAACCCAAGCAGGTAAGTTTAGCAAAACTTCATTGTGATAGGCCAGAAACATGGCCTCTGTGTACTGTGTTCAAGCAGGTGTTCTGTTTCTGTTGGGACGAGTGAATAACAGAGTCCACATCTTCCCCACCTGAGGTGGGGGAGCAGACTTCTGAGAGATATTGGCACACTGGCAACACAGACATTGAAGTATACTCTGACTGGGCTGTCACTAGAACACTGGGCTGGATGGAGAATGGGAGGCTCAGTGGAGTGGGGAAAACTTGAGCTGAGTTAAGATCTGAGTTCAAATCTTGACTCTGTGGTGGATACTGCGTGTCCTTAAGCCTGAGCTGAGTCTTTCAGATCTTCCTAAGGTTCTGGCAATGGTCACATGACACACGAGAGGACCAGTGAAGTACCTGGTTAGTGATTCTTGAACTGCATTTTAGCCTTTAACACACTTGGTGAGCCCCTGTTGGTCACCAGGCTGTGCGTATATATGCCCCTTCCCTGTTCCCAAAAGGCTCATGAAGTAACACTCTAGCTTAGCCCCACCCTCTTTCCCTTCAGATGGATCGAACCAGTAAAAGCAAACATTTTGGTTCTGTCTGGGCTGCAGTGGCTGATTGGAGAGAAGGTCCAAGACTTTTTATCCCATCTCAGCATCCCCCGCACCCTGCTGTGTAGTGAAAGACAGCAGTGATAATGTTGGCAGCCACGTCTGCTGTTCAGTTACTCTTTTCTGTCACAAGTCCAGATGCACAGCCTTGACAGAGTGGGGACAGTTTTGACCCTGTGACACTGGGGTTTGAGGCTCTGTCCTACAGAGTATATTCATGGCCCTCGAGGGTTGGCATCACCATGATTACAATGGCTGAAGATAGTATCCTGATGCCTTGATGTCTAGCCAGTCCTCCTCTGTATGCAGAGGACAGGCGTCCAGATGCACAGCCTTGACAGAGTGGGGACAGTTTTGACCCTGTGACACTGGGGTTTGAGGCTCTGTCCTACAGAGTATATTCATGGCCCTCGAGGGTTGGCATCACCATGATTACAATGGCTGAAGATAGTGTGGGTCACTCCTCCTGGCAGGGCATGGTTCTTATTTCCCTCCACAGGGTGTTCGTGAGGTCTGTGGGTGAACACAGACCCGCTGACCTGGGGTGGGATAGCCCAGCAGCAGCCACTGCACCTGCACCCAAAGTTGACTTTGATGCTTTGGTGTCACTTGGACATTTTCCTGACCTAGGTGACCTTTACTTTTGGCCTTCTTTTCCCTGACAGTTGCCCATGTTGGTGGGAGGCTTCAGCCCTCCACACTTAAGTTAGCTTCCACTATCAAAAATTGTTTAGCCTTGCTCTTGTCTCTTCCCTTTTCCAGAACTTACCTGCTGTGTGTCAGACTGAGCTATCCCTATTCCCTCCTGTTCTTCAAGACCTGCTACTGTCCCCGCTGGTGGTCACAGCCATGCCTGGAAAGAAGGTGATCCCTTCGGTGGGAGAGCTCCACGCACACTCCTTGGAGGCCTAAAGGGGCAGGGAAGAAACTGTAGGAGTGCGCAATCTGTGTCTGTGACTCCGTGTGTGTGAACCAGTGGCACCTAGCTTCCTTCCTAGAGACCTTGATGTCCCAGAATGGACCTGGATAGAGAATCGAGGCAAGCAGGGAGCCACTATCCCCCTTGCTTCCCAGTTCCCAACTCCCAGGAGCAGCTAAGCTCAGCCATGGAGGCTGCTGAGAGCCCGGAGCCCCACTGCCCTGCATGTGTCTAAATTATGTACAGGAGGGACCTGGCATCTTTCTGAGTGGCTCCTCCTTCGGAATGTGCCAGTATTTCTGCGGTTCATAACATTTCCCTACCCTTGCTATTGTATCTCTTGGCTTTTTCCTCAGTAGGCTGCCTTTCTCTCCTCACTGGGGAAATTACTCTTTTCTCTCTGCATCCTGAACAGGGTTTGCTCCCACCCTTTATGGGGCTGGAGGGTCTGGGGAAACAGATTGCTCTTGACCTTGGCCAGCCTGCAAGTGACTCTCAGCATCTGTTTTGTCATTGGAGAGAGGCTGAGGTAGGACACGTTTCCCTTCGGTCCTGGGGAGCTTGACAGAGAGCAGGTGTTAATTGTGCGTATCACTGTGAAAGCTGTTGGCTTACTGCCCTCTTCCCTTATAGCTAAACCAGCTGACAAGGACCTGTAGCTGGGGTGAAGGGGTTATGAATCCCCCCCCCATTTTATTTTGAATAGACTCTGTTGGGCCTGAGGGGTAGGGTAAAGGATAGAAATCCTATTTGTAGATATGAATCTATGTAGATGGCTTTGTGATCCCTAACCCTTCCAGCTTTTTTTTTGTGAGCATATGTGCTGGGGTCCCTGGAGACCTCTGCCTATTTTACTGCCCTGGATACAAGCCCTCAGTGATGTCCTAGATGGCTCCTCTGCCAGCTTCCACACTTAGCTGCAGTCACCAAAGTAACTCCCTGAGCAGAGGACGTGGCCACCTCTCCATTAACAGGGACAGGCTGTGGAGCACAGAGTCCCAGCACTGTGACAAGTAAAATCTGACCTTGCAACTACCTTGGGGCCTGTGTCTTAGAGCAGCTGGGTGGCTGATAGGAGATACTCCAAGCGGATGGTTGCAGGACAGAGTGGCCACAGCTGGAATCGACCCCACCCCCAAGAAGAGTAAATTGTCACAAAAATGGTGGTGACATCTGGAAGTCTGTGCACCATACAGCAGAGAGGAGGGGTGTGTGGCTAAGAACAATGGTCAGGCTTCCAGCTGCCTTGTCCTCTCCCAGGACTCTCTAGGTAGGAATTGCTTTTTTTCAATAGGCCTCTCCACAGCTATGACAAGTTCCCACCACTGCTAGGCCATGGCTTGGGGCCCTGCAAGTGGGGCCTGGGTCAGTGGTGCTCCATGAACCAGGTGCAGATGGCTGACATTTCCCTATAGCGTTTCCATCAGCAAAGACCCAAGAGATGGAGCGACTGGCCATTTGAGTATTTCTTCTCTAAAGAAAAAGAAGAGATTGTGCAGTTTTCTGCATCTGGCCGAACACTGCGTTTATGTGGCATATAGACACAGGGAGAAATGTTTGCCTCCCTGTTCACGCTCCCCTTCTGCCCTGGTCGCATCATGAGTGACAGCTCATCGTGCTGACAGGTCAGTCACCCTGACTACTGGGGATTCATTCTCTCTACCAAGTCCAAGAGATCTGGAGGAGGTCCTCCACCAGGCTGGTAGAGGCACAGGAGGCCTGTCCTAGCCTAGGTCACAGTTAGCTTTGGGAAAAGCACAGCTCATTCTCTGAGCCCCATAGATCCAGAATGTTCCTTATCACCTTGTTTGTGAGAGCTGGCTCTTGCAGCCTCATCTTCACAACATAACTAAGCGTTTTTGATCCATCTGATAGCTGGGAAGACCCAAAAATGCTGAAGGAGTGTTCCAGGGTAAATAAGACAGGTTCCAAAGGACCTGATCTTTTGTCTTTGCCTTTCTGAGCCCACCGTGTTGCCATCGTGTGTTTGTGTGTCAATGGCATGTCCCTGTTTCTCGGTGAGCAGATGAGTTGGATGAACTGAGGCTGTCTTCACAGGCATACAGTAGTGCTAGACCCCATGGGAAGACATCCCTTCCATCCTCAAATGTTGCCACCACTCTAATAGATTAAGGGTGTACAAAAGAGGGGGACCAAAGGAAGTTGCTGGCAGCTCCCACAGTACTGCCTTGTCTGTGGCCCAGTGTCTGTCACTCAGGGCCCAACCAGGAAAGCAAAACTCATTTTTAGGGTTCATACAGAAGCAAGAAGAGTGCAGGGGGCGGGGGAGAAGCACAGTGAAGAGGCCATGTAACTATAGGCCAGGGCCACTGGAAAGGAGCCAAAGCCATGAGGAGTCAGAGAAAGGAGAAGGAACTCGGCCTCTTCTTCCCACCCTATGGATTTCTGTGCGTGTCCCACACTAGCTGGCTCTAGCCAGAAGCCATCCTACCCTGTGAGCCTGTGGGCTCATCCCCCAGCATGCAACAGGGGAGAGCTGTGGCAGGTGCAATGCTATGTGCTGCTGTCTCTTCAGAAACTGGCAGTTCCTCGACAGTGCTTAAGACCTTGGGGAAGGAGGCAGGGGAGTGGCCTGCTTGGGTTTTGTAGGTCGTTTTTTCATCCTCCTAGGGAGGAAAGAGCTCTATTGGAAGGAAGAGGAAGCCTTTCTTCACAGTCGTTCCTGCTTTCCTTTGGAGGAATTTGCCCACTAAATCACCATGCCTTGTGCTTCCTTCCAGAAAACCATGTTCTGATTTCTGTGTGACCTGCCTGCCTGTTCCTCTACTCCAAGTCTCTGGTCGTATCCCTCACCCCCCACCCCCTGCCATGAGCACTAGCCAGAGCCAGCCTCAGTGCTGGGGAAGCTCTCTCCCACGCCACCATGCCAGTTGTGGCCTGTCTGTCTGTAGGAGAGCCCATCTATCCGTTGGTTTGTATTGTTTCCAATAAATTTCTGGAAATCCTGCCTAGTGTCACGATGTCCTTTCCTGGGCTAGTGGCTCAGCTGGGAGGCTCTTCTCATGCTCTCTCCAGGCTTTGGTGTCTGGAGGACCTCATCTAAGGGACTTGGTGTCTCTGCCTGCTCCCAGGGTCTAGGAGAGGTAACAGGCCACCCCCAAACTCTCAGCAACCTTTCTCCCAGGTTGAATGTGCTGTTACTGTCTGACCAGCCACATCCTGAGAAGGTAGTAGTTTCAGGAAACTGAACCCCCCAAAAAAGTGCCTTTGACTTTGTGCCACTTAGGCTTAGAGGGTCTCAAATTAGTCACCCCGTAGAGTCACTATACTGCTGTGGCTAGCACTGTGTCCTGGGGGCACAGGCTGGGGTGTTTGGGGAGGTGCAGAAGAAATTGCTGTGCCCTGGCCCTGGTCTGCCCTGTCAGGTGACTGTTTGAGCACAATGCCTCAGGTGCTCTGCTGAGGCAACTATAGGAAAAAGCAGATGGAGTCTCACAGGCCCCCATTCCTTCCAGCCTGTTTGTAGGACACTGGTTTACTGGGCTATGTGATCAGTGATTTAAAAAGCAAAACCAAAGGAGACAGTGGGTTTGTTGGGGTTGCTAAGTAATGTTCACTTTTAAAATGTATATTATTTATTTTTTGTTCAAGTATATATGAATGTATGTGGGCTTATGTGTACCAGGGAACATATGTGGAGGTCTGGGGATAACTCCCTGTCGTTCTGTTCTTCTAACATGGAGGTCCTGAGGATAGAACTCGGACTCAGGCTGTCTGCATGCACCCTTCCTGATGAGCTATCTCTTGGGCCCAGAAACAATAGATTTGAAAAGGGGATTTATGAAATTGGCTCCCTTGTCACCTAGGCAATCACATTCATTCTTACTTTCCAATAACCAAGTCATAATTCCACCTAAAATGATATAACTGCCTCCCTCCCTGCCAGAGAAAGTACCGAAGTCCCTTGAGGAATGCTTAGCCTTTTAGTGTTTCATAACTTAGGTATGATGATATATATTTATAGCACTTACCTGTGAATATCATGTCAGTGTTACGCTGCATAAAGAAACGAAAGAAAGCAAATATCTGCTTAATGGACAAGCATTCTTTTTTATACAGTATTTTATTTATTCTTTGAGCACTCCATGTATGTATACAATGTAATTTTATCACATCCAGCTCCCTCTGGACATTGTCCCCAACTTCACGTCCTTTTTTTTTTCTTTCTCACAACCGACTGAATCCAGTCTGTGGGGCCTGTATGTGTACAGGTATGCAACCTTACCCTGGAGCAAAGGCAACCTGCCAGCAGCCATGCTCCCAAAGAAAAATGACTTTCTGGGATCTGGAGAGATGGCTCTGGGGTTAAGAGCACCGACTGCTCTTTCCAAGAACCCAGGTTTGATTCCCAGCACGCACATGGCCATTAACAACCATCTACAACTCTGTTTCCAGGTGATCTGGCACCCTCTGCTGGCCTCTGTGGGCAATGCATACACGTGGTGTATGCAAGATAAGCAAGACACCTATCTATACACACAAAATAAAAATGAATCTGAAGTATTTTTTTAAAAAAGGAAAAATGGCTTTCCCTACCCTGGCAGCTGTGAGCTGCTAACAGCTCTTCAGCATGGATGGCTCCTCATGAGCCCCGCCCATCAACGCTGGAATGCTGACTGATTTGATCTTGTGCAGCTTGTGTAACTGCAGCTACCACAAGTTCCTGGGTACAATGGCCATGTTACATCACAGCACTGCTCCCCATCCTCTGGTCCGTACATATTCATGAGCCTTGGGGTTGGGGGAGATTGTTATTTAGGACAAAGTACCCACAGCTGCATCTATCTAAACCCCTGCTGTTGTTGTTTTTATTCTTTACTCTTTTGTCTCTCTCTTTTCTTTTCTTTTCTTTTCTTTTCTTTTTTTTTTAAGCGGGGCGGGGGCATTTGGGAGCATCACCCAGCTCCCAAATGATCACACAGGGAGGCTTATTCTTTTTCACGAATTCTTTCTCGTGAATCCCCCGCCTTAGCCTGGCCCATTTCTAACCAGCTTTTCTTAAATCATCCCAGCTACCCTTTGCCTCTGGGCGTCCATCCCTCTCCACTTAGTGTTAGCTAGTTGATGACTCGGCTTGACCCCCGGGGTTAATTTTATGTAATCAAACAAATGTAACAGTGTCATGATAAATCGTGAGGGGAACCTTGGCAGACTCCATGGCAGGCAAGGGACAAACATGCCAGGCAGACAGAGCTTAAGTGAGAAGTTTTATTAGGAAAGGAAAGGGGGGGAGGGGAGGAAAGAGGTGAAGAGAAGAGTGAGACAGGAAAAGTCCTGTCTGCCCCAGAGGAATAATAGCAGGAAAGAGAGAGGGAAAGAGAGCTTATGTGGGGGGAGGGTGTCTTTCTTTTAAAAGGGTCCTTTGCACCTGCGTACAGACTAGGCAATCATGGAACCCTGGGCTGACCAGGGTACTGCCTGAGTGCATTCTGCCAGGTGACGGGGTGGGCCAGCATAATGCCTGAATTCTTACAAACACGTCTTTGCATCATTAAACAACCATTCCACAGCATTAACAAATGTAACACATCTTAAATTCATATTCCACAGTACTTTGCCACCGCAGAAGGAAGCTTCTCTAATCAAGGCTGATGACAGGAGCACAAATCTATGGAGAGAACAATAAATATGAAAACAGGACAATTTAGCATGACAATCCTAGTAGATTCCCCTCTAGAACTTATGCACCCGCTCCACCCCCAGCCACAGGCTTCTGACCAGGTTGATAGCAGGCATGGATCCCCTCTTGGGTAGCAGGCCTCGTGGTAAATCAGAGAGCAGCTGGTTACCCCATGATAGCCATGCCACTATTGCACCAGTGAGCACATCTTGCCTGGAGGATCAGTACTGTAGCATGCAGGTTTCAAACAAACATGTTTGAAACAAACTAGGACAGGAACACCCAATGGCCATTACAATGATCATTTCTGTAACTGGTCACATGGCCTTACTTGGTATTTATAGCTTATCTTCCTCTAGCACCCCATCTGCATCTCCTCCATTCTCAGAAGTGCCTCAGCAGGTTGTGTTGTTCCTTTCTTCATTCCTAAAGGATCTGAGCCATTTACCCTCCTGCTTGGGCTGGGTTGTTATCGTTTCCCATTGACCTGAATCACAGGGCATGGCAACACTAAGAGTACACCCCAGAGGATCTCTTGCACTTCAGATATGCAGCCCTTTATTTCCATTGTGGAAAAGCAGTCCAGTTTCTCCCCATAGTCTAGATCAATAGCTCTTCCCAGTACCGTGGATCCTATCTTAGCCGCTTTACTCAAAGACATCAGGATCCCAAAGTATCCAGAAAGACCTACCTTCAATTTACCTTTTTTTTTTCTTTTTTCTTTTTTTCTTTTTTTTCTTTTTTTTCTTTTTTTTTTTTTTTTTTTTTGGTTTCTCGAGACAGGGTTTCTCTGTGTAGCTTTGGAGCCTATCCTGGCACTTGCTCTGGAGACCAGGCTGGCCTTGGACTCACAGAGATCTGACTGCCTCTGCCTCTCAAGTGCTGGGATTAAAGGCATTCGCCACCAACTCCCAGCTCAATTCATCTTTTAAAACCAAAGTTTATTTACTTAGTGGGTGTATGTTGGTACACGTGTGCCAGTGTGTGTGTGTGTGTGTGTGGACAACTTGTAGGAATCAGTTCTCTCCTTCTGCCATGTATGTGTTAGGATTGAACTCAGATTATCAGGCTTGGTGGCAAGTGACATTAGCCATCATGCTTGCCATTAGCTTCCAGGTCAATGGAATGTTTGGTTGCAGCTCCTGGAAATATCCAGAAATTTCCTTATACCCCAGAACCAAAATTTCTCAGCTAATGGAGCATAAAGCCACAGCAACAGCGCTGTGGGTGCTCGGCTCTCAGGGCCCTTTTAGCACCATGCTCAGTGGCCCTTCTGTAGGTTCTCCCCGGGAAGCTTGTACTCATATTCCAAGAACCAGGTGGTTAGATCCTGTGCATGTCCTAGCGTCTCACCCTACAGAGCTAAGTCTTTTAAGAGTCTTTCCGTAGAGGTCAGCTCTCTCCAAGTGTCATTCCCTAGCTGAAAAGGGGTACACAACTTCCTGCTACTCACAGGCTGAATTCACACACCCACCACTCCATTTAGGACTTTAGAGTATCCAGACTCAAGTCAGACTACCATTTACTAGTAATGGGGCCTTGGGAAAGTCACCCAACCCATCTGTGCCTCTGAATTCTCATCTGTAAAATGGGATAATAGTATCTCTTTCAGGGCTAAAGAAATTAGTACACATGTGATACTTAGAGCAGAGCCTGGCACCCAGTGTTCATCACTATTAGCTCATCCCTACCATTGTTCTTTCCTCTCCCTTCTCTTCCTCCTGAAACTATATTTAAATTCCTGTGTTCGGTCCACAAGATGGCAGAACGCTCGAACCACTAAAACTTCGGTCCTCTGCTTACCACACTCTGTCTCCCTTTACTGGCAAAGTAACCAAAAGAGGAGACGTGTGTCTCCATTACTTCAAATCTCATTAATGCCTCAACCCATTACACTACTTTATGGTTTCCATTCTGCTCTGGCCCGGCAGCCACTCACAGAACTTGCTGTCAGTAAAGTCACTAATGACTGTCTAAAGTGCCAAAAGTCTAAGTGCCATTCTGTCCGAGTGTCTCGAGCACTCAAAGCTGTGGTCATCACCCCTCCTCATTGTGTTGACCTCTACTCAGAGACACAGATATCACTCCTGGCTGCCTCTTCCCCACAGGTTGGCCTTGAACGCCTCGTCTTCTTGGGTGCTGGGATTACAGGCATGCATTACCACGCCTAGTTTATGACTTGTCTTATCTTCAAAAGCTTTTTTTTAAAAAAAATATAGTACTGGTCTATAATTTAAAATATAGTACTATACTATAGTACATTGTTAACTTGGGTACCCCTTCCAGATGCTGGACACAGCATGGACTGGCTTCCCTGCAGCCGGCAG